TATATATATATATATATATATATATATATAAATATATGAAAAATATATCAAAAATTAATGTGGGTATTCAAATGAAAGCTCTTGATGAGTGTAACATCAAGATGAACTTATATCTTTAAAAATGTCAATATTTAAGAAAGTAAAGTGCAATTTAACAAAAGTCATTATTTAATAAAGCAAAATTTTTTTTATTTACAGTTCACAAGTAATTGCAGTTACGTAGTGACTGCAAGATTGCTAATGAAAATTAATTTAGCAGATATTTTATAATTTTTGTGACAAATAAATTATTGCAAAAAAAATGGACTTGTAAAAAATTGAAAAAACAATTTTTTAAAATCTCCAAAATTATCAAGTGTTAGACAATAAATTTAGCAGTCACTTGACCATTTTTTAATTTTTTTCAACAAATAAATTTGTTTAGAAAAATTATTTAAAATTTCTCTATCAATTTTTTTTTTGCTACAATTTATTTATTACAAAAATTCTAAAAATTATTAAATATCTGGTAAGTAAAAATACTTACCAGCATCTTGAACAGGATCAACAACTTCATGTTTCCGTTTTTGTACTTTCTTAGGTTTCTCCTGAGCCGGAGGAGCGTAGCGACTCTGATCATACCAAAAAGCCTCCTGGGAGTCGGCATCCGTGGGAATCCACCAGGGCACGGATTGAGGCATGGAACTCTGGTAATACGAGTTAATTATCGGCGGGCCCGGCGGCGGAGGTGGTGCTGTCAAGACTGCAGGGTCCACTGTCACCTGGTTCGCCGGCAACGGCGGAGGTGGAGGAGGCGGTGCTGTCAGCACCGCCGGGTCCATATCTTTTATGTCCGACGAAAGTAGCAGCGACGGTGGCGGAGGTAAATTTTGCTCAAAACCTTCAATATTAATTTAACAAATTATTATTTTTTTTTTTTAATTAATTATAAAATGAAAATTAAGTTAACCGATATCTAAAAATTAAAAAACTTTTTTTATTGAAAAATTATTACAAAAAATAAAAAAAAAAAAACTGTCAGAGCAATTTTTTAAAAATATTTTTTTGTTCTAATTTAATTATTAAAAAAAAATCAAAAAATTAAAAATGTCGGCTAACTTTAGTTTTATATTATTGACACTTTTTTTTTAGCACCGGCTTAGCTTACCTGGAACTTCCGGGTTCTCGATAACTTTTCCTTTGGACATTTTTTACCTGTCAAGTATTTATATTTATATTTATATTTATAGTTATATTTTCATTCATTTTTTTTAAGAAAATTAAATCAGCTGACATTCAAAAATTTTTTAATTGAAAAAAAAAATTTGACATGTTAAAAAATTTTAAGTTGAATTTTTTTAATTGTAATTATAATCAATTAAAAATGATCAAATGTCTGCTTATTTTATTATTGCATTTTTTTTTAATAAGTAATGCGTACTTAAAATAATTTATTTGTTTATCAAAACAATTTTTTTGGAGGTTATGCGTCGGTATTATTATCACTATAATACACTTTAATTATTTATTTAAATAATAAATAAACCCAACAATTATTTTTTATTTACAAACTGAAGAAATAGCTGGTAATTTCTTAACAAATACTAATTGCGCTTATCTACAATAATTTATTTGTTTATCAGATTCAGATAAACTATATTTGTTGTGAAAAAACTCCGATCGGCTTTACTTTACTGTACTAAATATTTATATATATAGAATCAAAATGGCGCTGCGCTACAGTCAGTACAGTCAATTTCACTTTCATTTATTCATTTTTAATTATTTTTAGATTTATTATTAGAAACTCAATAACTTGACAATTTAGTGCAGGTAATTAATTATTTTTCGAGTTTTAAAAAGTTTATTTAATTATTTAAAATTTATTTTGGGTGAGTAAGTTAAATAAGTTGCTATTTTTTTTTAACAATTTAATTATTTTGTGTTGACAATTATTTTTTATTTACAAACTGAAGAAATAGCTGGTAATTTCTTAACAAATACTAATTGCGCTTATCTACAATAATTTATTTGTTTATCAGATTCAGATAAACTATATTTGTTGTGAAAAAACTCCGATCGGCTTTACTTTACTGTACTAAATATTTATATATATAGAATCAAAATGGCGCTGCGCTACAGTCAGTACAGTCAATTTCACTTTCATTTATTCATTTTTAATTATTTTTAGATTTATTATTAGAAACTCAATAACTTGACAATTTAGTGCAGGTAATTAATTATTTTTCGAGTTTTAAAAAGTTTATTTAATTATTTAAAATTTATTTTGGGTGAGTAAGTTAAATAAGTTGCTTTTTTTTTTAACAATTAATTATTTTGTGTTGACAGCTGATATTTTTAATTTACAAAATTTATTTTTTTAATTAGTTAAAAAATTTAGATTTTAATTTAAAAAAATTTGACAGTGTTTCTTTAATTATTTAATTTTACAATTTAAAATGATTAATAAAAATTACAATAATTTTTTTGAATGTCATTTTTTTAAACAATGTCAAAAATAACTTAAAAAAAACAGCTGATTGTAATTACAATTTTTTAAAAGTTAACAATTAGTAAAAAATCAATTCTAAAAAATGTTAAATAATTTTTAACATACTATAATTATTAATTTTTTTTTTTCAATATATATTTTATAAAATTTTATTATATAAATTCTAACCTATACAATTTTTATGATTGTAAAAAAAATTTTGATTATTTTCTTTTAATTTTACAAACTTTAGCAAATAAAAAAATTTTACTATTTAAAAAAACGTCTAAAAATTTGATAATTAAAATTTATTTTTAAATAATCATTTGCAATTAATTTATTTATTAAATAAAATTTAAAAAGAGTGAAAATTAAATGACTGAAGTTAGCAGACGTCTAAAAATTTTTGATTTTTTTTTTTTTTAATTAAATTACAACCAAAAAAAATTTATAAAAAATTGCACTTATAGTTTTTCAAGTTTTTAACATATGATATTTTTTTTTTATTGTTTAATTGAAATTTTTCGATAAAAATTTTGAAATGTCAGCTAACTTCATTTTCATAAAATTAATTTAACGTGTAGTTAAAAATTTTAAGAATTTTGTAACAAAAAATTTATTAAAAAAATTTCACATGTAAAAATTTAAAAAAAATAAAAAATTCCATTTTTTTTAAAATAATTTTTTGGAAGAAATTTTTTTGTTAATTAATTATTATAATATTTATTTTTAGAAAAAAATGGAGGAACTGACAAAAAATCTAGAAGAAAAAATAAAAAGTGGCTACCAGATGATGGAAAAATTGAAGCCACTGAGCGAGAAAGTGGAAGGGTCTGATAAGCTGTCAAGAAAAATAAACCAAGAAGTTAAATTTCTAAACAAGGTATTAAAAAAAGAACCCAAATTTTGAGTTGTAAATTAAAAAAATAACTTCTAAGGTGCGATCCACAGGTAACGTGAAGAAGGAGTACCTCCAAAGTACAAACTTGATCCACCTGAACGCGATAATAGAGCGACTGGTGATTTCCAAGGATGCAGTTAGTGTGATGCGTCCGTTTAAATTTGAGAATTCTCGCCTGGAAGTGGACATCGTCTGCGACTCCGGTAGTTCCTGGGTGAAAGTGATCGCGAGGAACCCGCGAGCTCTGACCCTGATTTCTCAAGGCGAGGGAGAGTTTGGTCAGAAGTCTGTGGTGGACCAGGCTCAGGCTTATTTATCTTGCGCAGAGCTTCATCCTCATCGCTACAAGGCGCCTGAGGTTGTCTTTCATTTTGCTTGTGGGATTGAAAATTCACTCGCGGTGAGGCTCGAGGAGCTTGGAGTCGTTGTTGAAGGCGTTAGGATTGGGAGTCTTGATCCTTTTGGTAAATTTTTTTATGAAAATTATATTAGATGACTTCTAAAAATTTTTTTTACTAAAAAAAATTTTATAAATTGTCTAATTAAGAAAAGACTTTGTATCTTGTGAACTATTGACATTTTTAAAGATATAAGCTCATCCCGATGTTACATTCATCGAGACCTTTCATTTGAGTACCCACATCAATTTTTCATATATTTTATATATTTATATATATCACAAATACCATATATATAAAATATATAAAAAATGTCATGTGGGTACTTAAATGAAAGGTCTTGTTGAGTATAATGTCGGGATGAGCTTATATCTTTAAAAACGTCAATTATTAAGAAAGTACAGTCTAATTTTACAAAATTCATTATTTAATAAACCAAAACTTCATTTATTCATAGTTCACAAGTCACGGTAATCGCATAGAGACTGCAAGGTTGCTAGTACATAATTTAATTTATATGAAATCTACAAAATTATTTAAAATAAAATTCTGCTATCTAATAAAACTACATAAATAAAATATACAATAAATTATAATTAAAAAAATTTATTGACATACAGGAATGAAGATATAAATAATAAAATAATTACGAAATAATAATCGAAGGATTATAAGGAATCAACAGTTGAGGTCGTAAAGGGAGTTCTTTGATGAGTAGCTGTAGAATAATTAAAACAAAAATAATTTATTAATTTTTAATGATTTACTAGTAATACTTATTATTATTATTATTAAACAATAAATTCCCTATTCAATTTTAATCAAACTAATCATCTATATTGTGCTTTTGTGCTCGTAAAAAATGCCTGATGTATAAAAAGAAAAAAAAAATTATAAATATCTTATTAATGTAACGATACCAAATTATAATAATTAATAATTAATAATAGTTTTAAGAATAATCATATAATAAATTGTAAAAAGCAAATTGGCAATAATAATTGAAAAAATAATTTTTTAAAGTAGCAATAATTATAATTTATTAAAATTGTCGGATGAAATGTGTAAAAATTTGTTAATTTACAAGATTGAATTAATTAAATAAATTTTATAAAAATTTTTAGAAATTAATTTTTTTTTAAGAATTTTTTTAAAGCAAAAAATTTAAAGATAAAAAATGTATCTTTTTTTTTTTATTAATTATTTTTTAAGACAGAAAAAAAAAATTGATGACTAGTCCGACAACTTTAATAAAAAAAATAAAAAGTCCTGAGGCAAATAATAATAATTATGATACCACAATTAAGCGTAACTTATCAAATGATAAGACTTGTCAAAAAAAAGCGCACCTTCTTTGGTACTGTCTTTCAAAAAAAAAATTAAAAAATTTACGAATTATCGCATCCGTACAAATAATTTACTTAAAAAAAAAAAAAAAAAAAAAAAAAAAAAAAAAAAAAAA